ACCTGCGAGCGCGCGTGGGACGGGAAGTCTGGGCTCAGAGGAATAATCCTGAGGTTTCGGAGATGCCCTGCTCCTCTGCCTTCTGCCAACACTTTTGTGACTTCTGATTTTTCTTTTCCTGTAATCTCAGAATCCAAGCAGGGGTGACACCCTCCCTCCCACAGATCCCCAAAGTCTGAGGAAACCGCCACGGATCACAAACCGTGTGCAGAGTGCATCTGCGCCCACGTACACTTTTGTGTGAGCGTGTGCATCGATGTGCCGAAGGGGCCACTGTGTCCCAGGAGGGCAGTGTGTACCGTGTGTGTAAATTGGCGCGGACTCCTCCGGGACGGCCGGTCCCTCCTTCGCCCTCCCTGATTGCATCATTAGTGCTAATTGAGGGGCTTTCACACGCCAGTGCTTTAGCTGTTTGGAGTGAGCTCCCCCCTCCTGGGAGAGATAAGCCGCGGCCCCGCCCCCTCGACGCTCTCCACTTCCCCACCGCCCCGACGCTATCCCCTTACCGCTCGGGCACCCTCCTTCCTCCCTCGGCACAGGTTCGTCTCTCCTCCCTGTGGCATCAGGGGCTGGCTGGGGAGGGTGTCCAGAGAGAGAGGTTTTCCCCGAAGAGCTCTGGCATTCCTACGAAATGCAGGACCTCTGTGGTTAGGAAGGAGACAGAAATTTCTGCCCAGTTCTTCTGGACTTGGAAGGGGGAGGAGCCGGCCAAGTCCTTGATCACTGGCCTGTGATCCCACTAAGGTTGCCTTTCCAGCCCCGACATCTTGGTCGTCTAAGAGGCAGCCCGTGGTGGCCCAGGCTAGATTAGCAGTCACAAGAAAGGCAGGGTGCCTTGATTCCCCTGAGAGCTTTGGGCTTGGTGGAGTCGAGCCCGGCCTGTTCCTGTTTAGCTTCTTTGCCCCGCTCTGGCCCTAGGCTCAGGATTGTGTGTGTGGTGGGGGAGGCTCTGAGCAGATGCCCTCCCCAGCCCTCACACCAGATGTCTTTGGTCTAATTAACTCTGCTGGGAAAACCAACCTGGGTTTGTAAACAGAGCTACTGGCTAAAGTCAACAGGGAACAGCAGCAAACAGCAAACATTCCCCTCACACTCAGCTCCTGTCCAGTTCAGCACCCCCACCCCCCCAAGGGAAGGGGGAGTGGGATGGATCAGAGGCCCCTGCTCTCCCGGCTGAGTCGGCTGAGTCAGCGGAAGGCTGTCTGCCTCTGTGACCCCAATATGGCTGCCATTTCCTTGCCTGTTCCAGGGTCTCCTCTACTGGGAAGGAACAGGGATTCTGGGAAGAGCAGTTGCCATTCCAAGTCAGGCTCTGTCCCCCTTCCAACCATTTCTCTCTAAATACTGACACCTTCTTGGCCAAACATCTCAATGCACGGGGAAGCCACTGTGGAGGGACTGCTTGAAGAGCTTTCTTTAGGACCTGCCCTGCTTTTCTGTCTTGGAGAAGTCTCTGTGGGCAGGGCTTGGCATTGTGAGTCTCAGCTCAGAGCTGGTGAATAGAACGTGAGTATTGTCAAGTTCTTTACACATCATGTAGGTATTATAATAACATGTTCTGAAATTAGGTAATTATTTCTGTGATATCTCTGCCAAACTTCAGTGTTTTTGTTATGGTTTGAAAGTTCAACGCACATAAGGATCCGAGAATCAGGCACAAAAGTATACACGGCGCACACACAGAAGCCCAACTGGGCAGGTGCCTCACACACAAGAACAAAGACATTTCAGCTGTTGCCTCCCTTGCCCGCTTTTAGACATACTGGCACGTAAGATCCAAGATGGAAAAAGGTTTTTGGCTTCTGAAACAAAGGGATTTAACTTTTGAACAGATTAGAGTTTCTGGATCGTCAGTTCTTAACCAAATTTTGCTTGTTTGCTTTTTTTTTTCTTTTTGGTGCCACCCAAGAAGCAGAATCATTTCAAAGAATTGGAAGGCATGAAATGCTATGCTATGCCACTGCAGACTCCCAGTGCACATCTGTCCATCCACCCAAAGGCCAGGAAGGGCCCATACCCCAGACCTTGCAGGCCAGAATCTGCTCCAGGTTGGTGGTGCTGTCTCCATGCCAACACCTTCAGTCCAGGCCGCCTTCTTCCCCAAGGCCCCCAGCAGCCCTCAGACCAGTGTCCTGTGCTTGCACCAAAAAGCTCAGTGCTTTGGACCCAGGATGTTTGTTTCTTCCCCCACCTTTCCACTGTCACCCACCCCATCCAAATACTGACTTGGATATCAAGGCCTGGGAAACAGGCAGATAGCCCAGACTCCATAATGCTGCATTTCTTGGGTAGTGTCTCCTAGGTACCTTCTTGTCACATGTGGTCAAGTTTTCCCAGTGTCTGGATTATAATGCAATACAGTGTCAACCTTCTGGCAGCCTTCTGTGTTGAAACCCTTTTTCTTCTAAGCCTAGGTCTCTTTTGGAGTATTACTCTCCTGCTCAAAAACCTGGAGGATAAACTGAACTGGCCCTCAGGCTTCTGAGCTGACCCTAGCCCTCTACCCAGGCCTGTACTCCCTCGTTATTCCCCTGGCCTTGTGCCCGTTACTCCTTTGACCCTTTCCTATTATGCTGTCTCTTCCAGTTTCTTCTTCTTGAAACTCCCTCTTCCAGCCTTTGTGCTGTATCTTCAAGGTCTCCCAGAAAGTAGTGAGTTAGAGATAATGCTTCTGTAACGGGGGTACCCAGGTCTGGGGACTGGAGGGCATGTTCTTGGTGTTCTGTGGCTTTATTTCCTTCAAAAGGAAATGTATAGAATACATCTCTCAGGTCTGAAAAACGTGTGTAAAGAGTGTGGTATTTGGAATCAGAGGTTCAGTCTCAGTGACATTTCCTTGGGCAAGTTAGTGAACCTCTCCGTTAGGTTTCCGATTTAGAAAATGGGAGACAGCTGAGTGCAGCGGCACCTGCCTGTAATCTCTGGGAGGCTGAGGCAAGAGGGTTGGAGCCCAACCTGAGAGGCCCTGTCTGAAAATAAATAAATAAATAAATAAATAAATAAATAAATAAATAAGGGTTGAGGACATAGCATATAGCTCAGTGGGATTAAGCCCAGACTAAACCCTGGGTTTAATCCCCAGTACCAAAAAGAAAAAAAAAGCAGGTGATGGGGTGGGTGGGTGGATAGTAATAGTACCTGCCATATCTACCCCATAAAGTTGAGTGGGTGAAATGGAAGAAAAAAACCTGACACAGGACAAGCCCTCAGTACAGTACGTGTAATCTGTCAACAGTATTAATAACATTAAACAAATAAACATCTGTGACAACATGTTAGACATCTTGGTTGACTATAACTCTGATGAGAGGCAGAAATAACTTTAACCACTTTCCATCCTGGTTCCCGTTGGTGAAACCGCTCAGTCTCCTGGGCTGCCCCCTGGTCCTGGAATTTTTACTTTTTCCCAAATCAGTAAACTAGCGATTGAGCAGAGGCGGGTATGTGCCCCCTTTCCTGTTGCCCCTTGGTGAACTAGGGGAGGAAGACCATGAATTAGAGCCCAGGTTCAATCTCCTTTTGGGGAGCCCGAGACTCCCCCCACCACCGGGCAAAGCAAGGGGGCGGAGCCTGACTCCTAAACTGGGAAAGGGGTGGAGCCAGGCAGCTTGCTCCTGTGCCTCCGCCTCCACCTCCCCAGGTAGGAAGTGAAGCTGACATTTCCAAAATACAAAAAACAGATGATGAAGGTCAGGTTTCCTACAATGGAGAGCGGGAGCCCCAAGGCAGAGTCCCCAAGAAATTACCTGACAGAGGGGTAGGAGGAAGAGCTGGGCAGCGGGAGAGGGAGAGAGAACAGGAACAGAGACAGAGGTGCAGAAACATGGAGACAGACAAAAACCCCCAAAAGTCAAGCCGCCCCCTCCCCCAGTTCTGAGAAAGGTAGTCAGACAAAGAGCCAAGGCTCAAGAGAGACCCTTCCACGGTCTCTGGAAAAGAGCTTAGCTCCCCTCCGTGGGTCTCAGCCTGGGAACATGAGCTACTTCATGACCCTTGTCTCTCTTCCTGAACCCAGAAATCAAATACTCTGTGGGCTCCCAGAGCTCCCCTGCTTGGCTTGTACTCTGTCTCCTCCTCTCCTAAGCCTGTGATCCACTGGGTCCCTCTGTCTCCCTTCCTGGGCAGGCTCTCTCCTGCTTCCTCCCTCCTCCGCCTCACCACTGCCGGGAGAGATGTTCTGTGCCCCCCGCTTTGCCCCTCTCCGGCCCTCTAAGATGGGTGCCCTCTCTTTCACAGCTTGCTTTGGCGGCAGGGGCTGGTGGGTGGGTGGGGCTGAGAGGTACCTCTGTAGGGTACCACCTGGGAGGGCTGCCTTGGGCTTTGGACCCTTCTCTGAATGAGACTGCCTGGAGACGTTGGGTCGGGGGTGGAGAGAGAGAGAGAGAGCAGCAAGGGCTGAACCCAGGGCTTCTGTTCCCTGGGCAGGTGGAGCAGCAGGTACAGGGGTGCAGAGTGGACCTTTGGGTCATTGGGTGTGAAATGGCCTCTGGCAGCAGGGTGGTGGAGCAGAGGCCTTCCTCTTGGTCCACAGGGACAATGGCCAGGTGGGGGTCCGGAGAGAACACTGTACCTTCTCTGACCTTCTCTGTGCCTTCACTGTACCTTCTCAGACTGTGTCCCGAGTTGACTGGACAGCTTTTCTTCTAGTCTATGGTCAATAGGAAGGAAACAGTTCCTTTGGAAGTAGAGAGTTTGGGAAGAGGAGAGAAAAGGCCACTTGAGAAGGGGCTGATGAGTTGGTGCCTCTGGCTATGGACAGTTCTCTTCCCCAGCTCCCCTAGGAGGCCACCTGGGCACAGGGCCTGGAGGACAGCTGCTTTTGTGAGCGTATGTACCGGGAATGGAATTCAGGGCCTAGTGCTTGCCAGGCAGATGCTGTACCGCTGAGCTACCTCCCTGGCAAGGCTGCTTTTTATAGTGAGGCCTTGGCCCGGCTTCTCCCCTCCAGAGCTTATGGCCTAATTGGAAAGATTCACCCCAAACCATCAGGACTTAGGGCCAAAGAGAATGTCCACAGTTTGGGAGGGGGATGGGGTGAAGAGGCAGGAAGGGACTGGTGTCTGCCTGGAAAACTGATGGAGGATGGATCTGATGTCTTGTCCCCAGAGTGGGCTGCGTGCACCAGCACAGCCTGGTCCCTTGACACAGGACGAGGGCAGCACGATATGCCCGGTTTTTACAGGTGAAGGAACTGAGGCTCTTGAGACGCAGGAATCTGCTTAATGTTACATCAGCTGTCACTGGGAAACAGGCTGTCTTGAAGCTAAGAAGCAGTGACACAGGCGCCGATTCCAGGTCTCTTCTTGGCTCTTCATTCATTTGGGGGGAAAAAAGAAAATTCCAGTTAAAAGGAAAAGGCAGAGAGGCCCTAATGGGAGCCAGGATGGAAGTTCATTAAGGTCATTCTTGCCTCTAGGCGACAGAGTTTGGTTGTAAAACTTTATTATTTTATTGTTCTTATTAATACTAATGATAGCGCACACTTATTAAATACCTTTCATTATCATTTAATCCCCTTAACTGCAGGAGATAAATGCTATTATTATCTCCAATTTTCATGATGAGAAAATTGACCTGAGAGAAGTTAGTAAGACACCCAAAGACGGCTGTTTGAACAGGAGCGGAGCAGAGGCGCAGATGCCTCTGACTGCAAAGTGTGTGCTCTTTTCCTGCTCTGTCCTTCGCTAGCAGCAATCCCAAGGGTGGTCTTTCCAAGCCTGACACTGCAACCTTGGCTAGAAGGTAAGTGTGTGATGTTGTCTCAGTCTTTAAAGAGGAGAGTGGGTCCTGCTGCAGCCGGGGCAGTGGGGAGGAAAGGAAGGAGGCGCCCCCACCCCCAATTGGGAGACCCACAGACTCAGGAGGAGGCACTCAACTCTTCCCAGGTATTTCCCAGAGACCCAAGAGAGGTTCTTAATCATTTCTTCCTCCTTCCCCTTCTCTGGGGAGGGACGAGGGGGAAAATAAATCAAGAGTGATGGCTTCCAGAGGGTTAAGAGCCTCTGCGAGTCTGTGTGGAATTAAAATAATTATTCGAAAAAATTCCAAAAAGCACAAAAAAGGAAGTAAAAATCGCACCAAATCCCTCCATTAAAAGAGATTATAGTTAGGTGTGAGAGCCACGTTGCCTGCCCCTCCAGCCCGGCCCAAGGTGGGAGGTGGTCACCCCTGTGACTCACACAGTGGAAAGTCTCCCCCCAGCCTCCCCCGCCCCCCGCTATTTTCCTTGCTTTCAGTCAGGCTCCAAAGTTAGACACCTCAGCGTCTCTTTGATGTTTCCAAACTCAAATCCAAGTCCTGTGCTTTTAAAAGATGTCTCTTGGAGCTGCCCCCCCTCCAGCCCGGCCCAAGGTGGGAGGTGGTCACCCCTGTGACTCACACAGTGGAAAGTCTCCCCCCAGCCTCCCCCGCCCCCCGCTATTTTCCTTGCTTTCAGTCAGGCTCCAAAGTTAGACACCTCAGCGTCTCTTTGATGTTTCCAAACTCAAATCCAAGTCCTGTGCTTTTAAAAGATGTCTCTTGGAGCTGCCCCCCCCCAAGCACGCAGGGCACCAGATCCTTCTGCCAAGAACACTACTTCCAACGCATCATTTCCCGTTCTGAGATCTTTGATGACTCCTCATCATTTGGAGGGTAATTCAGCCTGGCATTTAAAGTCAGTCGCAACCTACTTCTTGAATTCTTGTTTGCACACGCGCTTCCAAATCCTCGCTGAGGCCTCGGGAGTCGCTTCACCAATCTTGAAATAAGCTCAGCTTTTCCTGTGGGACCACACTCTTTCCCAGCTATTCAAAGGCCTGTCTGTACCGTCCCCTTCTGTCTGACCCACCTCCCAGCTTAGCAAACAAAATGACCTAGTGTAGAGACTGAACTTTTTTTTTTTGTTTTTTTTCCTCTCTGTTTTAATTGCTTATTAAATTAAAAAATAATCTGACTCAATGTAAGTTCCCTTGGTGTGTTCACCTTTCCTATCCCTCTCGGTCCCTCCCTCACATTTAATCCGGTTTATCGATCAACTGCTTTGTCAGACACTAAGCAAATAACTAGGAACACACAGATGAGTGGTGGAATCTCTGTCCCTCACATGTCTTGAAATATGCTTGATGAAGGAAGATTCCAGGCTTTCTTCATTTATCACACGCCTCTGACTAGTTAGCAGTCTGATAATGCTCGTCTCAAATGGAGTCCCAGAGTCTTTGCACCTGCTGTTTTCTTCTGCACAGAGAGCCCTATTGAGGTTTCATCCCCTCACACAGCCCTGCTCTGTATGATGTCTACCGCATTGCTCTGTTTTTATGTCCTCAGATCACTCAACCATTGTCTGAAATTATCTTTCTGTGTCTGCCATATTTTTTACTTGTCACTAACCTGTCCTCATTAGAATGCAAGTACCATGAAAGTAGACTTCTTGTTTTGTTTAGTGTTGTATGTTTTGAGCTCCGAGTAGTGACAGCATTCAGTAGTATGGTGCAGGGGTATTGGTAATGGTCATGGAGGACTGAACATGACGTTCCAGAGATCTTTCTGGCAAGTCATTTGAACTCATTCCCTCTTTTGGATTGGACACCATACATCTAGTAATGTGTTCATCTTCTGATTTTTTTCAGGGACATCAGTCATATGTCAGAGGCTGAATAACAAGTGTTTCCTCACCAGCAGGAAAAAAAAAAAAAGAAATCCTCTCCTGCCTTAACCAAATCCAGTCTCTTTATTTGAGTGAGGCTTCCAGCTTCCTGCAACTGCGCCCTGCCCCTCTTAGAGGACTCTCCCGCTCAGAGAGGTCTCCGCCTTTCCCCTCATTCTCTCAGGGCTGGGCCAGGGATCTCCTCAGTGGTTCCCTGTGCCTGCCTCATTCCCTCAGGGCTCTACTCTGTGACAATCATTTAATCCAGTGACAGAATCCTGTTAATGTGCTAACAGGAAAGGGTGGAAAACAAAGCTCCCTGTCCCAGGTAACATCTGTGCATTTACAGGGCCCTTCTGGAGACAATTAAATAAATGCTTTATTGAAACAATAAAATTAATAGGGGTCTCATGGAGCTCAGTGAAAGGTTTTTAAAAATTAACTTCATTGTTTTTTAAGCTTCAAAACAAGCTTTGCTAGGCAAGGAGGTTGGGCAGGGCCAAATTCTCCTTAAAGCAGGCCCTGTCCCAGGTTTGTGCCTGGGGCTTGGGAGCTTGGGCCTGAGCGATCCCTAGGTAAGGGCCACTATTCCAGGGCCTGGCTCTGATAGGGTCTGGTTCTGTTCCTAGAACTCTGTGGTCTGATAGCTTTATTAATCCCAGGATTTATGCGATATGGACACCCTTAGATTAGGTGTTCCAGGAAAAGAAGTGTCATACTTTCCATTTGTCATGTTCCTAGAACTGACGGACTCTGGTCGTGCTCATCTGCCAGGAAGAAGGTGGGGAATTTGTCTGGTCTGCCTTCTTCTGTGTCTCAGTCCATCTACCCTCCAGGTCCCTCCGTAGCTTGTCCCTTATCACTCATTCTCTCAAGGTCTCAAGAGAGGGCTAAGAATTCTGTTTGTCTCATCGGAACCTGAACTCAGGGACTTTGGGCAGACCTGTGAGTAGTCCTGCTGGTGGAGTGCCCGAGGGAAGGGCTGATGCGGGGCCAGGAGATTTCCTCCGGGGAGGTTTGTCCGGCTTGGAGGCTTGGGGCTCTCCTGGGAGATGCGGTCCTCTGTCCAGAAGATGGAGCTGCCATAGACTGTCTTCAGGATCCTCGTTATTCCTATCAAGGTAGCCTGTTGATTCAAACCATCTGTGGGCTTGTGAGGTTTGATTAGACTTGGCGTTTCCAACCCCGGGCTCCCGACTTACGCCCTGCGTGAGTGTGAAGAGCAGAATGAGGGTGTGGTGGAAGCTGGGGTACACCCTTTCTCTGTTCCCCAGACTCCTTGTCCCCAGTGACTCGGGGGACTTGTAGCCCTGGCCCCTCCTGTCCTCTGGGACAGGCCCTGGGAGCTGTTCTGGGCTGTATATCAGAAGACTTCTGCTCCCAGCTCTGCCCTAAACTGGTTGTGACTCTGAGCACAATATTTGGTCTCCCTGGGTCTCAGTGTTTTTCATCTGCAAAGTGGGGATAATGACACCTGCTGTGGTTATTTTGAAGTTCAAATGAGGCACAGGTGTGAATCACTTTGAAGTGTGTGAAAGAAAGTTTGTACAAAGGTTGCTTTTATTAAAGGTGCTCTGTCTTAGGAACCGGGACCTTCACCCTGGAGTTGCTGTTCCCCAGCCCTGGAATTGTGGCCCCTGTTGGCTCTGAGGCTTTATTTAACACCTGTAACACGTACATCCCCCCTACGGGGCAGTTTCTACTCCCTTCCCTGCTCTGGCACCCTCTGAGTTTCCCAGACAACAGATCTCTGACTCTTCCCGCTCCTTTATCCCCTCACAGCTACTCTGTCAACATGCCTTGCTTCCGCCTTTGAAATCTAACCTGGACTCACCTTTTCTTCCTGGTCTCAGTGCCATCACCTTGGCCTAAGCCATCATTATCTAGGCTCCTGTGGGAGCTCCCCAGTGGGCCTCTCCCCCTCTGCTCTTCCTCCCCTCCAAGACTTCAGGCACAGGGCTGCCAGGTTAATCTCCCTAGCGCCACCCTGTACAGGATCAGTCTTGCAGTCACAAGGCCCAGCAGCTCTCTAGTGATCTCGTCAGGGCCACTGTCCGTGTGAGTGTCAAAGCCCTACCGAGTGGAGACTTGATCTTTCCAACTGGACTCCCTCTAGTTCCCAATACACACCTCCTTCAGCCAGCCTTGTTTCTGACTCTTCTCTAGAGAGCTGGACCCACTCATACTTCTGTGGCTCTGCAGGGATGTTTATACTCCCACCCCTAGTCTGTCTGCTCTCCTAGCCACCACTCCAGAATTTTATTAGGGGTTTGCCTTGTGGGACTATCTCTCTCTATTGCAGTCTGATTCCCATGGTTTATACTGACGGGACTGATTAGGCAGCAGTACCTTTCATTTCTCATACCCTACCCTGCCTCCCTTACCTACCTGGTTTATAAACTCTTGGAGGGCTGGGATCCACCTTCTATCTCCCCTGTGGAATCAAAGCAAAGACTGGGTACCCCATAAAATCCTTGTTGATTGGATGGACAAAGGGGTCTGGTTTGTGAAGGAGACGGAGAGTGGAGGTTCTCTGTCCTAAACAGATTTCTTGCCCCCGCTTGGCCTCCTCCACTGCACCCCTGCTCTTCAGAGTCTTCCCCCCTGCTATTCTTCATCCATCAGTAATAAAGCAGGAACAATGGCGGGTTTCTTTCTAATTAAAGGGAGCAGTTAGTGTTTCCACTTCAAAGCCCTGAGAGAGAAGACTTTTGTTCCTCAGGCCTGGGAGCTCTGGGAGCCCTGGTTGGGTCGGGAAGTGGAGCTCCAGGCCCAGCCAAGCATTAAGCCCCTGAATCTGCGATTCCCCCAATTGCAGGCAGAGAAGCTTAAATTTAAAACAACAACGTAATTGGGTAACTTCGGCTCTGATAAAATAGTTGGGGGAATTTCTTCTCTCCTAGTGTCTGAAGCCAATGTTATTACAGGTGTGTGCTCGTCTCTCCCACATCCCATTGGGCCCCGTTGTCCCAGCACACACAGCACACAGCACACACGTGCACACTGTGCACATGGCACACACAAAGTGCACACAGTGCACACTTACTGGTGAGCCCCTTGCCCCCACTCCCAGGGCGCTCTGGCCTGAGCTCTCCCACAGACCCAACTACACTCCCACATATCATCTTTCTACCTTTAAATGCCCAGCAACGAGGGAGTCTAGCTTGAGAACTGTCTGTATTCTATTCAGCTGCAAGTCAGCTTCCTCCCACTTAACACCGGCGGCAGATTGATTTTCTAAGCTGGGCCCAGACTAATTCCCTCCCTGATTATAAACTGACTCCTGCTTTATGACCACAGATAGACTGAGATCCCAAAGTGGCCACAAACTGAGGCCCCCACATGGACACAGACAAAGCTTGAAGTAGCTTCTGAATGTGTCCTACCATAGTCACAGAGACCCAACAAAATTATAGAAAGGGTCTTTGGTCTAATAATCCTATAAATTTGACCCTAAGGAACTGGGAAGAGTTTCTCCTCTCCCTCAGTTCCATACTGAAACTCTTCAGAGCCCACTTCAGTCTTCCATCCACCCATCGACCCACCCATCCACCTGTCCACCCATCGACCCACCCACCCATCCACCCGTCCTATACTAAGCACCTATTCTTTGCCATGTAGTGGTAAGCCAGGCTAAATATAGCTAGACCTTGTTCTCAAACATGTTAATGTTGGATTAATTGCATGAGCTTTGGCATTTTAACAACCCGTGTTGAGTCCCTCTTCTTTGATTTACTATGGTAGCTGGGTCACTTTGGACTTGGTCACTTAATCTTTCTGAGTCTCAACTTCCTTGTGAATAAATTGGGGCTAATAATACTAACCACCTCCAGGATGTTAAAAGGATTAAATGAAGTCATCTATCAAGTGTGAACGCAGAGCCTGGCACATAGAGCATGCTCAATAAATAATATCGATCATTTAGTTATTCACTCTGACAGGAAACAGAAATACACACCCAAAATTACAGATCAGCATGAGAAGAGCTGTACTGGTTATGGAGGAGGAACTGAGAGAGAGACTCTGGGTCTGCTGGGATGTCAGGGAGGGCTTCTGCAAGGGGCGGCAGCCTTGGAGAGAGGCTCCAGGAAGGAACAGCAGTTAGCTTGGCTGACCAGGCCTATTGAGTCCAAGAGGAAAAAACAGCAGGCATTCTCCACTGGGGCCGAGGATGACATCCCCCTGCCGATGAAGGACTGTGTATTCTGAAGGCCCAGAGAGGCACTACTCCCATGTCACACTCAGTGCATACAGTCACTAATGAACACTAGTAACATGCTAAACTTCCAGAAAGGTCCTAAGGGGCCATGATGACGGTGGTGAGTGGTGACTGTATTGATGCAGTAACATGGAAAAGAAGTGGACAGTCAAGGTCTTCAGCTGCTCACTTCCCTTAGCTCTGAACTTGCCCTCTCAGATAATTTTTTCTTTTTCTTTTGTTCGTACTGAGGATTGAATTTGGGGACCTTGTACTTGCGAGGCAGGCAGTGCAACCACTGAGCTAAATCCCTGGCCCTCAGATCCTTTTCTCTCCTGACTCCCAAATCCCCTTTCTTTTACTCTCCTTGACCTCTGTGGAGAGCAGAGGGATGCCCTTGTCCTCGATGTGTCTCTTCTCCCCAATCCTGGATCTCACCTGACTGTATTAAGGATGTTTCCACACGCGTGACCGTGGCAGCATGGGGCATGGCCTTCCTACTGCGGCCTTGCTTGCTGTCCTGATTATTTCTCCTTAATTGAGCACAAAGAATGTGAGGAATGTGGAATAGACTGCAGAAGGAGGGCTGCTGCAGCCCCCTGGGGACCAGGATTCCGGGCTCTGGGACCCGAGGCCTGCAGATGGCTGGAAGACATCCCCCTCAGTGTGCATCCATTCCTGGCCCCCACCTCCATGCATGTAGAAGACCCACTTCTCCAGCCCTGAAATGCTCTCTTTTTTGCTCTGGGGCTCCCTTTTCCATCTTTTCGGCCCTAAAGAGTTTCACATCTTTGTGCAACTGGCCGTGATCTCCCACTTCCTAGAAGTCTTCTTTAATTTAAACCTGACAG